CATTTAATATAGAAGATTTGGTGGTTGTGCATTTAATGCAGAATATTCGGTGGTTGGGATCGATTCATCCACAGCTGGGTTCAATGCATCTAACTACCCATTGGCAGTATAAATAGTAGCATTTATTTCATTGTAAAAGGAGGCAACTTAGCACTCTTGCATTATAGCATTGTAGCAACTCGCAACATAGCGAGGGACGAACGTCTTCACTTTGTAGAATAGCACAGTATCTGTACGTACGGCCTCATGCTTTGTAGGTACGAACGGTAACCTACATCTAAGATGCCGAAGCACCAACACAAGAAATCACTGACGTGGCGAAGGGACGGTCGGCGGGAGGCGGAGGTCCTAGATGCTGACTATTGCCATGCCGATAAACAGCCCGAGAGGTCCAAGATGCCGAACCCTAGGGAAGACCTTCACTGTCCACCCTAAAGGCCGATGGCCTAGAGAAGAGGCCGAGGGCCTCGAGATGAACCTCTCCACCGTAGAGGCCAAGGGCCTGGAAAAAATGGCCTAAAAAGTGCATCAGGTCGAGGGACGTGGGACGATCATCTCCACTTCTGAGTGTCATTCCAAAGACGAGCATTTTGTTTGGCTCCATCAGAACTTGGCCCACGTATTATCTGGAAGAAGAATGTGCCGCAAATAAAAAAAAATTGAAAAAAAAATGAAAAAAAGAAAGTAAGACCAGGAGTACCGCCGAACGGCGAGAAGACATTCACCAAAAAGAAAGTAAGACCAGGAGTACCGCTGAACGACGGGAAGGCATTCAATGAAAAGAAAGTAAGAACAGGAGTACCGCCGAAGGACGGGTAGGCATTCAACAAAAAGAAAGTAAGACCAGGAGTATCGTCGAACAGCGGGAAGGCATTCATCCAAAAAGACAGTAAGACCAGGAGTACCACCGAACGGCGGGAAGGCATTCAACAAAAAGAAAGTAAGACCAGGAGTACCGCCGAACGACGGGAAGGCATTCAACGAAAAGAAAGTAAGACCAGGAGTACCGCCGAACGGTGGGAAGGCATTCAACAAAAAAGTAAGTAAGACCAGGAGTACCCCCGAACGGCGGGAAGGCATTCAACAAAAAAGAAATTAAGACCTGGAGTACCGCCGAACGGTGGGAAGGCATTCAACAAAAGGATAATCCGCTCGTCACCAAGGTGACATTTATTCTCCATCAAAGATCATCAGCCTCGCGTAGCATAAGACCCAGGGGAAGCACAGAGGACTGGTGAGATGATGGTTGAGTGAAAACCAACGAATCTTAGGGGTAAACCCGTTCTTCAGCAAGAACATCGGCCTCGTGTAGCACAAGACCCAAGGGCAGCATGGGGGACCGATGAGAGATGGGTGAGTTACGCTCAAAAAAATCGGAGAGTGAAGCTCAAAAACAGGAAATCCCCGCCAAATAACGAACATCCCCACAGTGGCAACATACAACTCCAAAGCTCGGGGCACCCAGGACAGCCAGCCAACGCATCTGAAACCATATGCCCGAGGACGTTCGTACCCACCACGAGATGAATGACGAGTACGAATGCATGAGAAGTCCGCCTCCACAAAGTGGCGGGAAACCAAGATCCCAGTGTGAGATGATCATCATTCGTAGTACGATCGACCCCTCAGCGCCATCGTATCCCAAACACGGACGGCTCGTCCATGCCTCCAAGGATGACGACCACCGTCTTATGCAGGACGATCGGCCCCTCAGCGCCATCATGTCCAGTTCACAGTCGGCTCGTCCATCCCTCCTAGGATGACGACCACCGTCTTATGGGGTACGACCGGCCCCTCAGCGCCATCGTGTCTAATGTACGGTCAGGCTCACTGTGCTGAGGCCGAGGATCCGGTGACAAACATCTCCACTTCAGAGGCTGAGGGTCTGGAGATAAGCATCTCCACTTCAGAGGCCGAGGGTCTGGAGACTAGCATCTCCACTTCAGAGGCCGAGGGTCTGGAGGCAAGCATCTCCATTTTAGAGGCCGAGGGTCTGAAGCACAAGCATCTCCAATTCAGAGGCCGAGGGTTTGGAGACTAGCATCTCCACTTCAGAGGCCGAGGGTCTGGAGACAAGCATCTCCACTTCAGTAACTGAGGGTATGAAGCAGAAACATCATCCACCTAGAGGCCCGGGGCCACAAGACGAACGACCCTACGACTTCGGGCTGAGGGTTGTCACTGAGTATGACGAGGTTGGGGCGTCCCCGGGTCGTGCATGATGAAGCTGGACAATCCTAGGCCAAGGTTCTAGGGGACGGTCGTCCAAAGGAAGCCAAGTCGGGCCTTTAGGGACCGATCCTCCCCAGCATGTCAAGCCGAATGTCTAAAAGAAGTTGAGTCGGGCATTCAGGGATCGAACGGCCCAAGCCCTCACACACATGCCAACGAAGACAGAGGACGAACGTGGACGAGAGTATACTTTCTCGAGCAGATTCACGAAAGTGTTGGGTTAATCACCCTACGGATGTCGCCAGAGGCAAACAACAGAGAGTACTCGTCCTCTAGACGGGAAGACGTACGTCCCCAACGACTGTTTACATAGACGGCCATGTACGACGATCCGGTGAATAAAGAAAGCAAGAAGTCTAGAGATCCAGGATACAGTAGACAACCGTCACGTCAGAGGCATCGACTAAAAGCAGTACACCGGACGTCCGTCCCCTAAGGTCGTATCTTCTGACGAGAGCCCCAGGAACTACTCACAGGAGCGTCACTTTCCTCCCCGGAATTCATGGCAGAGCAGAGTATACTCTTTTTCCTCCGTTAGGATTTTTTCCCATAGGGTTTTTTCCTCAGTGGAGTTTTTAATGATGTACCCCTCTGCCTATGACTTGGGAGGCGCCAAGGGTATTGGATGGCGACGTACATCAGAGTCAATTCTACTTCCTTATGTCCCGCGCACGCTCGGAACATCAGAAAGTGGGGGACTTGTGTTAGGTTAATGGCCCAATGAGGGTTGGCCCATAAACCCTTAAGGCTCACCCTACGAACGTCTCCAGAAACACAACGTCACAAGGATTGGTCCATGCGACGAACGCCACAAGGATTGGGCCATGCGACGAAACGAGGAAATGCTTGGCCTCAACAGAGCCAACCCAGGAGACGTACGTATCCAAAGGTACGTAGCCAATGGGGACGAACGTCCCGAGAAGGCCCAAGACAACGGGATACCATTCCGATTAACCCAAGGGACGTACGTATCCTAGCGTCAGCAGGTACCTTGGCCCAGGAGCAACACCAAGGATAAGGGGACGTACGTATCCTAGCGTCAACAGGTACCTTGACCTAGGAGCAACACCAAGGCTAAGGGGACGTACGTATTCTAGCGTCACCAGGTACATTGGCCCAAGAGCAACACCAAGGCTAAGGGGACATATGTATCCTAGCGTTAGCGAGTACCTTGGCCCAAGAACATCACGTGACGCACGTCTCGCAAGACTTCGAGCGCAGCAGGAAACAAGAGACAAGCCCATGTGGACGAACGTGCCAAGATTCTAGCGGGATCCTGCATTTAATACAGAAGATTTGGTGGTTGCGCATTTAATACAGAATATTCAATGCATCTAACTACCCATTGTCAGTATAAATAGTAGCATTTATTTCATTGTATAAGTTGGCAACTCGGTACTCTAGCATTGTAACTGCTAGTGTACTTGGTACGAATTTTGCGTTAATTGTTTCGTACTAAGAGCATCACCAATGGGTCACCGTTAACATGGAATTAATTATGACACATGCCAATTAATAAATGGAATTGTCATCCACATGGTGAACTGGCTTAGCTTGATGGTGAAGTCCAAAAACTTACTCCAATGCTTCGTGTTAACAGCCTTATAAAAATAAAACACTCTGTACATCATATTTGACCAACCCCCGCCTACACACATGCACCGACTTCACGCCAAACCTTCGAGATTTACATACCGTCTCCTACCTTCTATAGTAATATCATTTATCAATTCTCTTAAGATCAAAAGCCTTAAATTATATACGTAGTGACTGCTATAATTTAAACTATATAATTTAAGGCTTTTGATCTTCTAATTAAGCTATATAATTATTACTGTCTCAGAAGCCTTAATTATCAGCAAAATACACCCACATATATAGCTTATTATTACTTCTGAAATAAAAAAATCCCGTGCGTATACCGTTCAACGGGTGCATGGTGAGCACCATGCACCCATTGGATATTAACAAATGGTAATAACTTTTTTATTTTTGATCTGATTTTTATAAAATTTATATCAACATTTTTTATTTTTCATGATCTTTCAAATGAGACCAATATTGCCTATGTAATTTTAACATATTAACATTTGCGTGTAAAATATGTAACTTTACGTGTTACAATATGTAACTCACGTTCAGTCAGGCCAAATGCAACTCGTGTGTATAAATATGTATCTCTACGTGTAACAATATGTAACTTTACGAAGAAAAAAATATGTAACTCGCGTTCAGACAGGTCAAATGCAACTCGTGTGTATAAATATGTAACTCGCGTGTATAAATATTTAACTTTACGTGTAAAAATATGTAACTTTACGTGTAAATATATGTAAGCCGCGTTCAGACATGTCAAATGCAACTCGTGTGTATATATATGTAACTCGCTTATAAAAAAATGTAACTTGCTTATAAAAAGATGTAACTCGCTCATAAAAAGATGTAACTCAATGTATTATCAAATGTAACTGAGGCCACTAATCCACTCCCAAACAGATTCGATCTTCTATTTCACAAACTTATCATCTCCTAAACAGATTCAATTTTCCTTATAATCTAATACTCATTAATATAATAGTTCGATAATTTCTTAAAATTAATAAGCAATATTGGTCTCATTTGAAAGATCATGAAAAATAAAAAATGTTGACATAAATTTTATAAAAATCGGATCAAAAATAAAAAAATTATTATCATTTTTAATGACAAAAAATGATAATAACAGCAAAAAAAACAAACATGCTGCGCCCTATTGCAGGGTATAATTTGCCCAAAAAATCGAAAAGTGATGCGAAGGAGAAACAGATCTGCTTCTACAAAACTTATTTGAGGGAAGATGTGAATTTAACAAAGAAAATATAAGCACATGCGAAGAAGAGAAAGCTTGTAGTCTTCAACCTTGAATCGAACATCAGTGAAGCATATATGTGGTGAAACAATTTGTTTGACGGATATGTACTTTTCGTTTGCCGGATTTCGGATGAGTAATGCTGCTTACACGGCTGAGCTGCCGTCAGATTGCTCGCCGCCTGCCAGTATTGGAAAGTCATAAACTCCTACACCATAGCGCCTCCGTCTTTCCGCACGTAGAGCGATCTTTTGTGCTTGTTTTAAAGACATGTTCCAGTTCCGCTCATATTCGTCAAGTCCAATGCTATATGCTCGTTCGTGCTCTGGATTACGACAACATTCTTCTAAATCAATTCGTTGGCGCGGTCTCTGCTGCTGGGTTCTCCGGCTATGTGTATTGCTTGGTCTTCTTTGCTCCCAACCCGGACATGTACCTATTCAACACTGCCATTGAAGCTCTCGCTTCCAAGCCACGTTCAGCCAAACAGGCAATTGACCTCTACGGTAGAGCCCGAAACATAGGTTTGAAACTCGATACTTATTCAATTCCTTTTGCGTTAAACGCTGCTATCTTCGATTGTGGATTGAGATTCATCGGTGAACAGATTCACTGTGACGCCGTCAAGACAGGGCTGAACAATGATGTCCACGCAGGGGTGGCGCTTGTTCGTATGTACTCTGCCTACAGACTCGTTACTGATGCTCGGAAGGTGTTTGATGAAATGACGCAAAAAGATGAGGCCTTGTGGAATGCTATGATGGCAGGCTATGTCAAGGCTGGTGATATAGAAGCTGCAGCATTCTTATTCGAACATATGCCCTGGAGAAATGTTGTTTCTTGGACTACTATTATAGCTGGCTATGCTCAAAAGAATCAGTCTCGTGAGGCCATTTCCGTTTTCGGGAGAATGATGGCTGAGTCGAATGGAGTCAAGCCTGATGAGGTCATCTTGCTGGCTGCCCTTTCGGCTTGTGCAGATTTGGGTGACCTCAAGATGGGTGAGTGGATTCACACTTATATTGAGAAACATCAGTTGCCAAAAACTATACGTCTTAACAATGCCCTCATACATATGTATGCCAAATCAGGGAGCATACACAAGGCCATACAACTTTTTGAGAGTATGGCTGAAAAAAATGTGGTAACTTGGTCAACTCTGATTTCCGGCTTGGCTACTAATGGACTTGGAAGTGAAGCACTTGACATGTTTTCTCGTATGGAAAGGACCAGAGTGAAGCCCAATGATGTGACTTTACTTGCTGTACTTTCTGCCTGCAGTCATGCTGGTTTTGTTGAGTTAGGACACTGGTTTTTCCAAACAATGGAAGAACGGTATGGAATTAACCGCAGCATTAAGCACTATGGCTGTGTTATTGATCTCTTAGGGCGAGCCGGTCGCCTTCAAGAAGCTGAAAACTTAAGTAAAGCAATGCCCTTTGAGGCAAATGCAGCTATTTGGGGATCACTACTTGCTGCATCTAGGAACCAAGGCAATATTGAAATTGGGGAGCGAGCTCTACAGCATCTCCTCAAGGTAGAGCCTCATCATAGTGGGAATTATTCACTTCTGTCTGGCATATATGCTTCTAATGGTAGGTGGGTTGAAGCTAGGGACACAAGGGTAGTTATGAGGGAAATAGGTGTTAAAAAGAAGCCAGGTCAGAGCTCCATTGAGGTGGATAACAAAGCTTATGACTTCAATTGTGAGGATATATTCCATCCTCAGCTTGACCTAATACATAGAACTCTGCTGCAGTTAAATAGACACTTGAAGATGCCAAGTCATGCTGTAAGGGACTACGAGGATCTGCTTGATTCTGTTGGCTTGTGACATAATTTCCTCTCGTCCTATGTCATTTCATTTTCATTTCATTTTCATTTACCCCAGTGCTGCAAAGGCTCCCACCTACGGTGGGGTAAGGGGGGGTCGGATGTACGCAGTCTTACCCCTATACTAAAGCACAGAGAGATTGTTTCCGGATGACCCATAGTGAAAATCTCGTCCAAAATTGCATGGACTGACTGTTGTTCCATAACAAAGAAGCGCAGACAGTTTAGTGAGCCATTTTGCTTTATTCCATCATAATCTCAAGCCAAAAAATAATGAATCTTTGGCTTCATTGCAAATGATGGAAAATGTGATGGGCGGGATTACAAATGTGTGTTCTGATGTGAAGTTCCTGAAATCTCAATGATCTGATTTGGACTTCTGTCTGGTCAATCTTTTTGGTCTTGTTTTTTATTTTGGTATGGTCTTGAATTGACTCTCAAGGTTATTTGCGAGTGATGACACCTGAAAAGGACATTACTTTTTGCCCTTAAAAGGTAGGGAAAATCTATTTGAGAGTGTACATCCTCTATTTTGAGAGTTATAAAAAAATGCAGAAGTTTTGAGAGTTGTCTATGTACAGATATGTGTACAAACAAGTGTGAAACGTGTACAAAAAATATGTGCACCAAGCAAAACCCAAGAAGTGTTGGCTGCTACTTCATTGGTATAAGTGTATAATAATAATGAAAAAAAAGTATAATAATGAATATATTCTGACTCAACAACGAGCCTATAGTTACCATAAAATTACTCATATTTTATATGATGAGTGTGCAATTGTTCTACCCTGAGTCCCTGACTATACATTTGAACTTTAGAAAGTTATAAAGGCTGTTACAAGTGTAATACGGAGTATGGTCTTTTCATTAACTTTTATTATTATAACAACTTTTACTCTTACACAGAAAAAAATTAGAATATCAAAACCTACTATGGTGAACCTCCTGTAATATCACCTTTTGAATTTTGGCCTTGACCGTTCTCGTTAATTAATACGTAGTATCACTGACTCAAATACGGAGTATGTGTCTAATCTTTGCGTAGTCTTTTGCATTACCTTCTCATCTTGCTCATGATTTTCCCTCAAGTCATCTATATATCTCTGACTCAAAGTTTTGTACTTTTTTTAATTATATCATAGCAAAAACACCATCCTTTTAAATATTGCAATATTGTTATAAAATGGAAGGAAACGAGCAGAAGATCAGGGATAGAAAATATAGTATGAACGTTTACTGATAGAGGTTAGGGATGGATTCGGGCCGGGCCTAGGCCCGGTCGGGCCGCCGGTTCGTATCAGATGGGCCCGGGACCGGCCCGAGGGTTGGACGGGTCCGGTTCGGGCCGGGCCACCCGCCCAGGTCACAGGTCGGGCCACCCGCCGGGCCGGGCCGGGCCGGTTAAATATATTTTTTTTAATTTATATTTTATACTTTATAGTTTTATACAAGTATTAAAAAACAAACTTCAAGTGCATTTATTTGAAATGAAATAGGAACTACATTTGAAAATTAAATAGGAACTATAATTGTTTTTAATCGGAATCTCCGGCATAGGTAGAGCCACCCTCTGTAGATTCATCCATAAAGTGTTGGGATGGAGTGATGTCAATTTCTTGAGCTCTACGTGCTGCTTTCAACCAATCGTGGTAGCATATAAGCATCTCAAGAGATTCAGCGCTCAACCTCGTTCTGGTTTGTGTTAGAACATTGCCGGCCGAACTAAATTCTTGTTCCACGGCAACCGTTGAAACCGGCATTGATAGCACTTGCTTAGCCATCTTTGCTAAAACAAGGAACATTCTTTCTTTTCCCTTCCACCAGTTTAGTACGTCAAAATCATCATCTTCTTCAAAATCAACATCATAAGTTAAATACAAAGAAATCTCATTAATTGTGCTTTGTTGTGTAGCGGGAGTTGATTTTGTTTTTTTAATAAGATTGGCAAACGTAGATTTGAAAATTGATTTTCCTTTAGATGATGTTTGTGTCGGGGGAGGGGGCGCATTGCCATATTGTGCATGAAACTCATTGAATAATGCATAAAATATATCACTAACCTCGTTGTATTCTTTTTTCGGATCAATTGGGTTGTCCTCATACATTGGCAATGGACCAAAAAAAGCAGCATAATAATAATTCAAACATTCTTCTAAAGAACCAAGTCTAAAACGAGGATCGAGAACAAATGCAATACCATAAATATGCGGAATATGTGAATAATATTTTAAAAACTTTTCCTTCATAAAACCAGCAAAATAACTCACATAATCAGCATTCTCAAAATTTGAAAAAGCACCGGTGAGATTAACAGCTTCACGAATAAATTGGTTTGAGGTAGGTTTATAAACATGACTAAAAGTTTCAGTTGCATTATTAAAATATATCAAAGCATTACAAATTTTTTCACAGGTGTCGATCTCAGCCGAGTTTATAATATAGTTATCATATTGTTTCATAAAAGCAGGAAAATGTTGTTTATATCTAAGAAGAACTCCAATTAACTTATAGGTACTATTCCAACGAATAGACAAATCTTTTGGAAAAGCCACATATCTCTCACCTCTTTCTATCAAATAATCATGCCATTTTTTCCTAAGGTGTCCATTACCCCAAATACGTCTAATCCCCCCATTGACTACCTCCAACGATGCTCCCAACGCTTTTAGACCATCTTGCACACATAAATTTAGAACATGACATGCACATCGTTGATGAAAAAATCTACCCATCAAAGAAGTAGAACCACACAATTCACGCAATCTAGGAATAGCAGCAGTATTATTAGTAGCATTATCAAAACCAATAGCAAACACCTTATCAATTAAATTATACTCAATTAAAATACGTTCAATCAAAATATAAATATGTTCAGCGATGTGACGATCATTAAATTCACGGAAAACATGAACACGTTTATGCATATGCCAATCATTATCAATATAATGTACAATCAGACCCAAATAATGTAAATTATGATAAGTATCCTCCCATATGTCAGAACATACACTAACACATCCATCAAAGTTTGCAAAATAATTTTGTAACCTTACCTTTTCCGCACCATAAAGCCTTGAAATTTCTTTCTTAACCGTTTTGCGACTATAACCTCTATATTGCGGATTTAAACAAGTTTGTGCATAATCACGAAAAGCAAGACTTTCAGAAAACAAATAAGGCAAATTTTCTTCAACAAGTAAGTTAGCCATACCTGTCAAATTTTGTGCATCATTGTATGAGAAATTACCAAAAGCTTGTTGGTTATTTGCAAACCTCGATATTTGCGTTTGTTTCCCCGTTCCGCCGCCTAATTTTGCATACTCCACCGGGTGTTTGGACTTAAGGTGTCTTGTGGCGGATCCGTATCCACCGGAAATCCCCAAGCTATTGTTTTTCTTGCCCCAATTGCAAGTTGCGGTCCAATTCCCGGTGTTCGGGTCCTTCCACTTAGAAAAATTATTAGCCATTAATTCAGATTTACTTTTTTTTGTACCTGTTTGGGATGAGGCTGCTTGGTCGGCGTCATGGCTGCCGCCACCCTCCTCCTCCTCGTCGTCGTGGCTCTCCGGAATTGCTTCCTCCACATCGTCGTCCTCGTCCTCGAGCTCTTCTTCGTCAATGGTCCTCGGTTGGTCTTGAAAAAAGCGGGAATTATGTCGGTGCAATTCTTGTTCTAGTTGTTCGTCGGTCATCGCATCCCCATCTCTCCTTACGTAACCCGTATCAAAATCATCTTGACTTTGAGATGAAGAGCCGATATGTGATTTACCTTTGCGGGATCTCTTCCTCGCAAGCTCGTTCGTTCGGTTGCGCTCGAGGTTACCCATATCAACCGAATATCTAGGACGATCCATCTAAAAAATGTAGCGATTAATAAAAAATTGTAAAAAACTAATTAACTATTTATCTAACTATTAATTCGAGTTATAGCAAATTAAGTAGTGAATTAACTAGTTTTGTGTACAACATATTTTTTAAACTAGAGTCAAATGTAGCAATTAATAAAAAATTGTAAAAAACTAATTAACTATTTATCTAACTATTAATTCGAGTTATAGCAAATTAAGTAGTGAATTAACTAGTTTTGTGTACAACATATTTTTTAAACTAGAGTCAAATGTAGCAATTAATAAAAAATTATAAAAAACTAATTAACTATTTATCTAACTATTAATTCGAGTTATAGCAAATTAAGTAGTGAATTAACTAGTTTTGTGTACAACATATTTTTTAAACTAGAGTCAAATGTAGCAATTAATAAAAAATTGTAAAAAACTAATTAACTATTTATCTAACTATTAATTCGAGTTATAGCAAATTAAGTAGTGAATTAACTAGTTTTGTGTACAACATATTTTTTAAACTAGAGTCAAATGTAGCAATTAATAAAATATTGTAAAAAACTAATTAACTATTTATCTAACTATTAATTCGAGTTATAGCAAATTAAGTAGTGAATTAACTAGTTTTGTGTACAACATATTTTTTAAACTAGAGTCAAATGTAGCAATTAATAAAATATTGTAAAAAACTAATTAACTATTTATCTAACTATTAATTCGAGTTATAGCAAATTAAGTAGTGAATTAACTAGTTTTGTGTACAACATATTTTTTAAACTAGAGTCAAATGTAGCAATTAATAAAATATTGTAAAAAACTAATTAACTATTTATCTAACTATTAATTCGAGTTATAGCAAATTAAGTAGTGAATTAACTAGTTTTGTGTACAACATATTTTTTAAACTAGAGTCAAATGTAGCAATTAATAAAAAATTGTAAAAAACTAATTAACTATTTATCTAACTATTAAACAAGAGTCAAATGTAGCAAATTAACTAGTAATTAAACAAGTGTAAATAATAGAATAATTTCGTACCTCTTTCGGACTTTCGGTCTTTCGGATGGGAGTAATAGAATGACTTCAAATTAATTAGATATAATTCCAACTATATTAATAGATATAATAAATATATAAGTAATATATAATTAGATAACAAATATAAGTAATATAATACTATTTATATCTATTTATAGTTTATATAAGTAGATAATTAATATAAACTATAAATAATAAATATAATATATTGGAGAATGGAGAATAAGAGAATTAGAGAGTAGAGAGTTAAGAATAGGATTTAGGAAGAATTGGAGAAGAGATATGAAAAAATGTTTAAGATTAGGAGTATTTATAGGTTTTTTTACCCCCCACCCCCCCCCCCACCACCCCCACCAGCCCACCCCCCCGGACCCCCCCTTTACCCCACCCAACGGCTATATAGCCGTTTGGGTTGTCCCCAGCCCCACCCCCAACGGCTAGTAGGAGCCCAAACCAATTTTTTTTTTTAAATAGACCCGGACCCGGGCCCGACCCGGCTGGGCCGGGTCACAAAAAACCAGAACCGAGCCCGCCCCGCCCCTTCCCATCGGTTCGGATCCATACCCGGTCCCGGACCGCCCGACCGGGCCGGTCCCGGGCCCGCACAGTACCGGGCCGGGCCGGGTCACGGGCCGGGTGGCCCGAACCGAATCCATCCCTAATAGAGGTGTATTAGAGATGTTCTAATGGTGTAATCAATGTGTGTTTACAATGAAGCAAAGAGCCTCTATTTATAGGCTAAACAAGTGATTAGCTCAAGATGAGTGATTAATATTAGCCACATAATCATTATCTAGAAATCATAATTGTGATTTCTAGATTATCTTGATAATGATAATAATGACTCATTAATCATGAATAG